TGGCCGTTTGCGGTGAGGTACGCGGCGCATCAGATCAACCTCCACCCCAGGGTCTCCAGGCCGGAGACCTCCCCAGCCTTGCTGTGGACGGGGAAGGTTGGCGATGCGTCGGCGTTCCGGGTCTGGGGATCTCGGGCGTTTGTCCGCGACCTGTCTGCGGACAAACTATCCCCTCGTGCTGCTCCTTGCGTCTTCCTGGGGTTCCCCCCTGACGCGCCTGGGTGGCAGTTTTACCACCCCACCTCTCGCCGTGTTCTGTCCTCCCAGGACGTCACGTTTGACGAGTCGGTCCCCTACTACCGCCTCTTCCCCTACCGCACTCCGTCCCTCCCCCCACCCCCACTCTTCCTGGTACCAGGTCCCCCCCAGGTAGACCCCCTCCCCCCTCAGGGTCCTGCCCCTTCAGGTGTGTCCCAGGTAGACGCAGTCGAGCCTTTCGAGGTCACTGGTGACTCTGGTGCTGCTGAGGGTGCTGAGGCTGGGGGTGCTGTACCTGGGGGTGCGGAGCCTAGGGGTGCTGGGCCTGGGGGTGCTACGTCTGGGGGTGCTGAGCCTAGGGGTGCTGAGCCTAGGGGTGCTGAGCCTGGGGGTGCGGAGCCTGGGGGTGCTGAGCCTGGGGGTGCTGAGCCTGGGGGTGCTGAGCCTAGGGGTGCTGAGCCTGGGGGTGCTGAGCCTAGGGGTGCTACGCCTGGGGGTGCTGAGCCTGGAGGTGCTCCGCCTGGAGGTTCTCCGAGTGCTTTGTCTCGCCGGGAGCCACTTTCTCCACAGGAGTTGCGTGAGTGGTTTGCCCGGCGCTGGAGGCGTGCTGCTGGTACTGGAGGTCCTTCGGCTGCTGAGGGTGCTACGGTCGCGGGTCCCGGAGGTGCTCGTCCTGGGTGCACTGGAGCTGGTGCTGCTGAGGGTGTTGGCGCTGAGACTACCGCTGGCAGTCCTACTGGGGGTGCTTCTGGTGCTGCTGGAGGTTCTGGAGCTACTGGTGGTGCTGCTGGAGCGGGTGCTCCTGCTGAGGGTTCTGGTGCTGTCCCTGCTGCTTCTAGCGTCGCCGCGCGGCCTCGACCGTACTTCGTTCCACTCCTGCAGCAGGTTCTTGGTCTTCCACCTTCTACTGGTCCTCCTCCTCCCTTAGAGTGTCCACGGCCTGTCTCGTCCCAGCTACAGTTGCAGCCTACCTCCCCTTTGCCTGCTCCTTCTCCCTACACTGGTCCTACTGGAGGTCTGGCTGAGCGTCGTGAGCCTGCGTCTCGCCCTGCGTCGCCTGTCCGTGCTGCTCGCACTAGTGGTCGCGGTTCGCGTCAGCGTCCTCCTCCTGTCCCTGGCACGCACCGGATGTCTCTGCGTCCGTCCACTGCTCCTCTGCGTGCCCCTTTGCCTTCTCCTCCTGAGTCCTCTCTTCCTGCTCTTGCCGACCCGGAGTCGGACTCTCTTCGTGCTGCCAGTCCTACTGTCACGCGTCTCCTTGCTACTGTTGTCACTGACCCCTCTTTCGAGTCTACTGCTGCGTCTGCTCTCGTTACTGAGCTCGTCGACTTTGCTGCTCGCTGTCGCTTAGACTACGCTGCCAGTCTTGTCGCTGAGTCTGAGTCTGTCTGTCCTCCGTCCGTCGGGGGTGAGTGTGCCCTTGGCACGGACGTTCTTGAGGACAGGCAGGAGGAGTTCCAGTGTCTGGCAGCTGCCTCACCTCATCTCGTGTCCGTACTGCTTACCCCTGAGGGAGACCCGGATGCACTTGACATCCCGACTCCGCGCTCTTACGCGGAGGCGATAGAGGGTCCCTACTCCTCTCAGTGGCAGGCAGCTATGGATGCAGAGATGGCTTCCTGGAAGTCCACAGGCACCTACGTTGACGCTGTCCCCCCTCCTGGGGCGAACATCGTCAGTGGCATGTGGATCTTCAGGGTGAAGCGGCCGCCGGGTTCTCCGCCTGTCTTCAAGGCGCGTTACGTGGCTCGTGGCTTCAGTCAGCGGCAGGGAGTTGACTACTTTCAGACCTTCTCCCCCACCCCGAAGATGACCACTCTTCGGGTACTGCTGCACGTTGCTGCTCACCGTGACTACGAGCTGCACTCTCTTGACTTCAGCACAGCTTTCTTGCAGGGCAGCCTGCACGAGGAGATCTGGCTACGTCGCCCACCTGGCTTCACTGGGTCTTTCCCTCCTGGTACCCAGTGGAGTCTCCGGCGTCCAGTCTACGGTCTCCGCCAGGCGCCACGTGAGTGGCACGACACACTGAGGACTACGCTTGCGGCTCTTGGGTTTGCTCCTTCTACTGCCGACCCGTCGCTGTTTCTACGCACCGACACCTCTCTGCCGCCGTTCTACATCCTCGTGTACGTCGACGACTTGGTCTTTGCCACAGCTGACACTGCTGGACTCGCCTACGTGAAGTCCGAGCTGCAGAAGAGACACACGTGCACAGACCTGGGTGAACTGCGCAGCTACCTTGGCTTGCAGATCACCCGGGACAGAGCACGCCGCACCATTACCCTGACTCAGTCACACATGGTGCAGCAGGTCCTTCAGCGCTTCGGCTTCACGTACTCCTCGCCTCAGGCCACTCCTCTGTCTACTCGCCACTCGCTCTCAGCTCTGCCTTCGGATGAGTCCGTAGAGTCGAGTGGCCCGTACCCAGAGCTTGTTGGCTGCCTCATGTACCTGATGACCTGCACACGACCTGACCTTGCATACCCTCTTAGCATTCTTGCACGCTATGTTGCTCCTGGGAGACACAGACCAGAGCACATGGCTGCAGCGAAGAGGGTGTTGCGCTACTTGTGCAGTACGTCGGGCATGGGGCTTGTGCTTGGAGGGCGGAGTCCAGTGGTCCTCACTGGGCACGCGGACGCTTCTTGGGCTGACGACCAGGCTACGCAGCGGTCGTCACAGGGTTACACCTTCAGCCTTGGTTCCGGCTCTGTTTCGTGGCGGGCTACTCGCTCGTCTTCTGTTCTTGGCTCGAGTTGTGAGGCTGAGATCTACGCCGGGGCCATGGCTGCACAGGAGCTTCGCTGGCTCACCTACCTGCTGACCGACCTTGGAGAGCCGCCTCGTTCTCCTCCAGTCCTGTACGTAGACAACAAGGCCATGCTGGCCTTGTGTCGAGAGCAGCGACTGGAGCACAGAACAAAGCACATTGCTCTCCGCTACTTCCTTGCTCGTGAGCTACAGCAACGTGGACAGTTGCGGCTTGCGTACGTGGCCTCTGAGGCCAACACTGCTGATGTCTTCACCAAGGCACTTCCGCCTTGTGATCATCAGCGCTTCTGCACTCAGCTGGGTCTTGTGCCCGTCTTGCCTCACTTGCTCTCCTCTTGACCTTGCTTGTACTCTCACATATATATGTACCTGCTCTTGCTTGTCTAGCTTTATATATATGTGTGTACTCTTGCATGTGAACTGGCCTTGACCCTGTGCTCGGACTGTGTGGTGACTTTGTGATCCACCCTGAGCTTGCTTTGCTTTACTTTGCTTGACTGGTCTTGTGACCCCTTGTTCTCCCCCACTTTGCCTATGGGGGTGTGTCAGAACATTATAGCTTATGCTGTTGTGTAGGCTATAGTGGGGTATCCCATAGGGGGTACAACCAATTAGGGTTTCATATTTGTACTCACTTCATTTCATAGTTCATCCATTCTTGTTCAAATATTCTCAGAGTTAGTAGTGAGGCGACACTTGTAGTGTTTTGATTGCGGGGCGTGCTTTACTATTGGTGCTTTGTGTATGGTTGCGGTTGACGCTACGTGTCTTAGTGTTAGTGCATACTAGGTGTAGGGATCAATGGTTGAGATGTGATATTGTGATGGTGGCGAGCGCGGCGATTTGCGGTTTGCGATGGTGCACAGCATGGTACGAGATTGTAGTTTGGCGACACTTGTAGAGCCAGGATTGCGGTTTAGGCTTTTTGATCGGACGGTGTGTAATACGGTTCACTTGAGGAAGTACTCGCTTACGTGGCGGTTGGACTTGAACCGGTTCGCCATGTGGCGTTGCAATACGGGTGGGGGTTTTTGTGATGCGTTTCCGCAGCTTTCGGGTGTTCTTGGAAGGTCACGTACACGCTGCATGATGCGTAACCTCGCACGCGACTTTGGGGTTGAAAGTGGAAACCGCATACGCACACTGTTTTACAACTTTGAAGTATTCTGAACCTGCCCGTAAAGTGACGGAGTAGTTGCTCCACAAGTCACTTGTGCACCTACAATTTTGAACCTTGACTTTGTTCTTGCGTTTTTTAAGTAACCCGAGAGTTGCGGTTTTTTTACTTTATAGTTACTTTTCGCGCTTGCCTTTTCCGCGATGAATGGGCTGAACGCCAATCCATTTACAAGGCACGACACGAACGACCATGCACAACCCTAAAAAACGCGCTGATGACTCTAAACCGTCGAAAACAGAGCCTGCATTTTTGTGATGTCGGGCAGAGAGAGCCGTCGGATTCAACGACTCGCATCCCCCCGAGCCGCTAAAGCCGACAATTCTGACGTGGCGGTCCCCCGTGAATCGGCCCCGCGCGCCGCTGCTGGCGTTGACTGCGGTGACGTGGCGTCCGCCAGTCACGCATCGCCACGTGGCCGCAGTTTTTCGCTGTAGCCGGCGCGTTGGTCGCGATTCACCTGTCTGCCGCCGCGAGTCCTCTCGAGGCCGTCGCCGCCGCTTTTAAACGCGGGCGGGTACTCGTAATGCCGGGGTACGAACTCGTAATGCCGGGTACGATCGCTCGCTCAATGCGGTTCGTTACTAACAAAATCGTCAGACGAGGTCCTTTAACGAGGTTGTTTACACCGGGTATATTAAGCGAGATTCTTGTACGAGTTTAGCTGGAGGAACGCTGAGGGTTCAAACAAGGCATGGGCTGAAGCTGCTTCCATACACGCTAGTTTCCACTCTCCCTTCCTCCCCGCTGGAAATTGCACCACTGCTCCCCCGCACTTCTTCCTCTTGCACCCCCAGCCGTCTTCCCCCCGTCGTCCTTTCCTCGCCCCGTTCCTATTTCCCCCCCTCACATGCCCTCGCCCGCGCTTTCCGCTTCCGCTCTACCACCCTCCCCTCGCCAGCCCAACCGCCAGTGGCACCCCTTCTCCCCTTCTCCCCTCCCTCCCCCTCTTCCCCCTTCCTTCCTCTCCTCCTCCCCCCCCCTCCCTCCCCCCTCCGCCCCTTCTCCCCCTCTCCCCCATCCCCCCTTCTCCCTCGCCTCTCCCCTTCCAGCCCACCCATCTGTGGTGGCATAAGTGGCAGCACTGGTGCGGTCGCCCTGTGCCCGCTTCTCCTCCCGCTTCGATCTCTCACCTGCTGCTGCTGCTCCTTCCTCCCCTTCCTCCCTCCGCCTATCCCCTTCCAGCCCACCCACTGGTGGTGGCATCGGTGCAGTCTGCTCTCCCTTCTCCCGTTATGCCCTCACTCTCCCATTCTCGCCACGCCCTCACTCTCTCGTGCTCGCCACTCCCTCACTCTCCCATGCTCGCCACTCCCTCACTCTCCCGTGCTCACCACTCCCTCACTCTCCCATGCTCGCCACGCCCTCACTCTCCTGTGCTCGCCACTCCCTCACTCTCCCCTGCTCGCCACTCCCTCACTCTCCCGTGCTCGCCACGCCCTCACTTTCCCGTGCTTGCCAGACTGCCCTATGTGCGCGCGCAGGAGGAGCGGGATGAGGACGTGGGCCGCCTGGGCGGGTGAAGGGGAAGGTTGCGGGGTTGGTGGGCGGGTGAGGAGGGAAGAACTGTGAAAGGAAAAGGCTCATACTGGCGGGTGGGAGTGGCGAGGGGGGTCTGCCGTGTGCTGTGCCATTCGTGATAGTGCCCTCTCCCTCCCTTCCACAACCCCTTTCTCCCTCCCTTCTTCCCCCATTATCACTTTCCACTCCCCTCACTCACAACCCTTCCTGCTTCCAGCATACCCACCTACTCCATTTCCCTACCCCTCCCCCCTTTCTCCTCCCCTCTCTCCTTCCTATCTCCGTGTTTCTCAATCATCGAGTGTTGAGGCGTTGTCAAACACGCGCCCCCTGCCCTCTATTATCCCCCGCTCTTCTCCTGCCTTTCTCCCTATTCTCGTTCCTCCCTGCTACACTCCCCTTCCTTCCTTTTCCCCCACCACTCCTCTGTTCCATGCTTCCCCTCCCTCTCCACCCACCAGTCCCATCCATGCAGGGGCTTTCAGCCTCACCTACGTTGGTTGGAGGTGCTTTTGAGAAGCTACTCCCCCACCAGTCACATCCGCCCCTGTCCCCAGTCACATCCGCCCCTGTCCCCTGTCACATCCGCCCATGGACCCCTATCGCATCCGCCCCTGTCCCTTGTCACATCCATGCAGAGGCATTCAACCCCACCTACAGCTCAACTCCTACGTCTCCACCTCCTCCCTGCATCTACCGTCTGTCCCTTGTTCTTAATCTCACTCACTCCTCATTGCTCCCAATCCCTCCTCTCCTCCCCATTCTCTCAATCCCAACTTCTCCACTCCTTCACCTTCAGTCACATCCGCCCCTGCCCCCTAGCCGTCAACCCCTCCTGTGTCTGCACCCCCCTCGTACCCCCGCCTACTGTCCGCCATGCTGCTTCACCGGTGTCCCCTCCCTCTCTGCCCCCCACCTCACTCGCAACTGCCCCTGCCCCCTGGCATGAACCCCGATCGACTGTGTCTCCATTCCTCATCATCCTCTCCTGCTGTCTGTCCCGTGCTTCCCCCATGCTCCTCCCACCATACCCCTCTCCGCCCCCTTCACTCGCATCCGCCCCTGCCCCCTAGCGGTCAACCCCAACTGTGTCTCCACCTCCTCCCTCACCCTCGCCTACTCGCCGCCCTGTACCCTGCCTTCCGTACTGCTGCCACGGCCGTCCCAGTATGGTTAACCTGGGAATTTGTCGTGGTGAGAGGATGAGGGAGGGAACGGCAGTCTGGCATATAGCCCACCTTGGCTATCAAGCCTCGCCTAATCAGTGTGGGTGCGAGTGGGCTGTGCTGGTGCGAGTGGGCTGTGCGGGTGCGAGTGGGCTGTGCTGGTGCGAGTGGGCTGTGCGGGTGCGAGTGGGCTGTGCGGGTATGGAGATGTGAGTCGGGGCTCTTGGTTGCTCTGATGCCGTCCCCAGCCTTGCCTACTCGCCGCCCTGTTCTGTGCCTTCCTTCAGTGCTGCCCACGGCTGCGCAGGTATGTATGAAAGGGACGAGTGCGCGGTCCAGGTATGGGTGATTTGGGACGAGTGGGCGGTCCAGGTATGAGTGATTTGGGACTTCAACTAACTTTCAGCCTTCTAGCCTCGCCTACTCACCGCCCTGGACCGTGCCCAAGATGCGAGGATGAGGGAGGGGATGGGAGAGAGGATGCGAGGAGAGCAGATAATCTCAGCCTCACTTATTCCCTGCCCTGGCCTGCTCACCCTCTCACTGCCATGCATCGGCATGTGTGGACATGTGTGCATGTATGCATGCATGGTTTGTCATGTACCAATGTCCATGCACGTACATGGCCCCATGTCTACGTGTGTATGCATGCATGTATATGCACGCACCCATGCCTGCCTAGGTCTGTCATGCACGCATGTCTACGGTGGCAGCAGCGGTGCAGTCGCCCTAAGCACGTGCGCAGGAGGAGCCGGATGAACTGATGTTGCTGCTTCTCTCCCTCCCCCTCTCCCCAATACTTGCACAAACACTTGACCACTTGACAATGTGTTTGTTTCTGTCCCTCCCCACATCCCCCACCAATCAGGAGGGAACTACATAACGGCCAGAACCAACAGTCTGCTTGGGCTTGACGCGCGATGACAATGTGCTGTACCACTCTATAGCGGGGCCCGTGGTGTACATATACCCGTTTACCACCCCACCAACGCGCTGAGGAAGCGCATGGATGCGGTGGGGAAGGAGCTGGGATGGCTGCAGGAGTATATGAGTACGAGACAGAGTGCGACTTGGAATCGTGTACTTTTCTGTGAATAAAGCAATTGTACAGTCAATAAACATGTGCAAGTGTACTTTTCGGTGAATAAAGCATTTAAATGAGGGTGGTTGTGGCCCTCGCCAAGTCTTTTACGACACTACACTTCGGATAATTTAGGACCACGCTCAATCAATGGCATGTGCACCTTATGCAGGGGTGGGTGTATATGGGACAATTATTTTTATGCCACCCCCCCCCCCCCCCCCCCCCCCCCCCCCCCCCCCACCCAGGGCGTAAGCAGGGTCTCTGCCAGGGCTAAAATTTGGTTTTGAGGAACCCTTATGATCAGTGCTGCACCTCTGCAAATTCCTGATTATCAGTGTGACCCCTTAGGAAAATTCTTTTGCATCAGGGTTCAGTACAGGTTTGAAATTTTTACCCTGAGGCATCAGTGTAAGATTTTAAAAAACCCTGATCATTTGTTGTTGGTACATTGAAAACACACAATAAAATATTTCTGTGCTGGGCTAAGCCAGGTTTCCTGCAAATCCAGTCGTGTTGGCGTTGTGTATTAAGAAATTGTAATTCTGGCCAATAGGGGCCCACTTCGTGCCAACACATGTTTTGTCTTGGCGCGATTTTTGGTTTTGACAGTTGGCCAACGGGAATCCCGGGTTACGGGAAAGGGGGGGGGGGGGGGGGGGTGGGGAAGGGGGGGGGGGGGGGAGGGGGGGGGGGGTGTGGTACTCGCGTCAGGGTAAAACTTGCTAAGAAGAACTGTAACCCTGGGGCCACACAGTGTGCCTTAAACTTAAACCCTGGCATATCAGGAACCCTGGGTGTGATTTACACTGATAAAATTAGCCCTGGTCCAGGGCTCACGTTATCACTGTAAATCACCCTGATGCCCTGATTACAAGGGTGATTTTTGGTAGTAACACTGATGCTGTTGGGTAATTTTTTTGGGGTCTGAATATACCCTGATGTGCCAGGTTTTAAGTTTAAGGAACACTGTCGCCTCAGGGTTGCCTTTCCGCGTATCGAGGTTTACCCTGAAGCGCGTACCAGCGAACCCACACCCCCCCCCCCCCCGTCCCCTAACCACCCGACCCCGAAACCTGGATTTTACCTTCGCCAACTGTCGAAAATGTAGATTTCGGCAGGACTTGACGTGTGCTGGAACGAGGTGGGCCACCATTGGCCAGAAAGGCAGTTTCTTTCGAGGAATCACCAATGTAACGAGTTGGTCTTGTTGTCTGACATGCCAGCATTACAGGTTTGGCAGGATACCTGGGTTACTGCAGCACAACAACAAGGCCCACTTGCACCCTATGCACCGCGTGTTGTGCTCTACTGTGGGTGGCACATCTGCTCCCTTTGCCAGCACGATAGGACATGAATGCGCAGGGGATTGGGGGCACCAGCACGGTGGTGGAGTGGTCTTGTTGAGAGGCGTCTCTCACGATTGTGCTTTTTCCACTAAGCTTGCTGTTTGTTGGCCTAACACCCCCGTTCGCAGCCATGGCTCCCACAGCAGACGATGACGCAGGTGAAGCTGCTGACGAGCCACCTAGTGACGCTCCAGCGATGAGGGGCTTAGATTTTCTCAGAGGGCTGCATCAGAACCCTCCGCCCGTCAGCACTGCAGGCCCACCATCAAGCACCGGCGAAAAACATCCGCCTGCTCGTCCACCTGGTACATCTGGCGGTGAGCCCGAGAGTGCTCCCGCCACCGTCAGCGTGACGGAGGTGGGCGAGTCTTCGTCTGCCGCCGCACGGAAAAAACGCCGATTTGCACAAACCGTGCTCCCGTTCGGCACGCCCCCTCCGAAGCCGACTCCATCACCGGCACCCGACAAACCTCCCTCGCGGGTGTCTCGTGTTCTCACCGATGCCGAAAAGGCCGAGGCGAAGTTTGACAAGGCACTGCAGCTGTACATCACGCAGTGGCTACCCAAGTTTGAATGGTTGCTGCTTGACAAGAACGAGGACGGGTTGCCCGTCTTGCGATGCAGCATATGTGTGGAGCACGGGAAAGACGATGCGAAATTTGGTCGCAACGGGCCGGGGGGGCGGGATCCTCAACCTGGCTCTATGCGCTGTCACGAGCTGAGCGTTCGCCGCGACGATGCGTTGAAGAAGCAGCGGACGCTTATGGCGGAGATTGAGACGCAGAAGTGGTTGGACGACTTTGCAAACGCCGACAAGGAGGGTGCGCGGCTGACTCGTCTCATGCGGGCCGTAGACTTCATCTGCACCCACGACGCGCCAATCGCCATGTTCCCTCAGCTCGTACAGTTCATGGCCGAAGAGGGAGTTGAAGACATTCCGTTGAAGTCATACGGGGTCTACATCTCACCGTAAGTCGAGTCGTTACCTTTTGGCATGTACATCTTCCCATGTGTAACTATCTTAACAAACCTGCTGACACCAACCCGCTACGCTTGGCAGGTACGGCTTCAACGAAATGGCGTCGGCTATGGCAAAGTACCAACGAACTCAGCAGCTGCAGCATCTACTCGCCTCCCCGTTCATCGGGCTGACTTGTGACGAGAGCACCGACCGCGCGCGTGGCAAACACTTGATAGTGTTTGCCACTTTCCTCAAGAATGGCGTCTCCGTGACAGAATCCTTGGTGCTGCTCTCGGTGCAGAAGTGCGACGCGTCATCGCTCTACACCGTGCTGATAAGCCACTCGGAGTCTCTCGGCGTCGACATGCAGCGCGTGTCCGGCGTCGGCACCGACGGGGCTTCTGTCATGACGGGCGATAAGGGCGGTCTTGTTGTCCGGATGAGAGAACGCGTTCCGCATCTAGTCGGCTGTCACTGCGTTGCGCATCGGTAATGTCACGATTTCTCACTGGATGTCTGTAACCTGTTTTCTCCATGTTATAATCCCGTTGCCCACAGTTGTTAACGGTTTCCCCACTCGTTTCTAATTTGTTGCAGAGAGGCGCTGGTCGTAAAAGATGCTGCTAAAAAGTTCCCCGACCTCAACATGATCGACGCGGGAGTGCGAGCAATGGGGGAAATTATCTGTCGCTCGAGCATCTGGTACGAGAGGTTCAAGGAGTTGCAGCAGGAGATTCATCGCACCAACCTGGAGCACCAAGGGCTGTTCAATGTCCGGTGGCTGTCGCGGGGTGACGCAATCGCACGGCTGTGTCGTGTTTTCGGGGCAGCTATAGTCATGATTGTGGAGTATGGCCACAAGATTGCCGCCACAGTGCAGACATTTAAATTTCACTTCTGCCTGTACTTCCTGGCTGACATTCTTGCAGAGCTGAACGCCCTGAACCGATTTTTCCAGCACCGAAAGGCAAGTATTCAAGCACGTTCAATACACCCGCCCGTGACACTATAGGCTTGAAACTAACCCAATTGTAGTTTCAATGTTCCCCAGGTCGACATCACCCAAGTGGCGAAGGAAGTGGACCGTACGATCGCCATCATCACGGACCGGTACATCGTGTACGGGGATACTTTTGGTGGCGGCGTCAGCAAGTTGCTCTCTAGATTCATCAAGGACCACGGCAGGGCAAATCGCACGGTGGTGGTGGAGGGGATTGACAGCGAGGGCCGGCCGACATCACATCGATTTGAGCTGAGCGAGGAACCAATCAAGAAGCACAAGTTTGGTGGCACGCGCGCGGACTGTGAGAAGTTGTGCACGGGGTTCGCGAAGGAAATCGTGGCGCGAATGAAGTTTCGCATGTGGGACTTGCAGCAAATGGGCGGCGCGAAGCTGTTTCAGGTGGAAGCGTGTGTTAAGATAGTAGGTAGAGGCATGAAACTAGGAACCCTAGACATGGCGAGAGTTAGGAACGAGAGTCGAGAGAGAAGGCCAAAAGAGGGGTTTCACTATAGACTCAAAGGTACAAATAGGCAAGAAGCATGACAAGAAGGTGCACCACCAAACAAGATGATTAGGATAACTACACTACAGCTAGAATGACATGCAGTTATAACAATATAATTCTGACATCCCCCCATAACTGCATGCAGGAATAGCCAAGTGCAAGACACAACCTGCAGGGGTACATCACAGACAGAGAAAACAGCAACAGCAGGCAAGAGCAGTTGCAACCAGTGCAGTGGTGGCAGATTCAGCTGCACCAACCCCTCAGCCAAGATAGAAACAGCAGAAGCAAGTGTAGGGGCGGCAGGTCGCCTGAGGAGAAGGCTTTGTGGCTACAACGTGCAGCAGGACAGCAGCGGCTCGACGGCAGCACCTGCAGGCCCCAGCAGCAGGCAGCAGAAGACAGGTCAGGTGGCGACAGGGGCGACAGCTGGAGGTGCCACAGTAGCAGCTGGCGGCAGCAGCAGATGGCCGGCTGAATTCCGCCTCCCCCTCACCCTCCCCCCCACAGCGGCACACGCGGCAGTGCGAGAGAGAGGAGGAGGGGCGGCTGCTGGCTCGGCAGAATCTCTCTCGCCACCCCCTCACACTCCCCCCCTTCCCCCACAGCGAATGGCACTGCAGGAAGAGAGAGGAGAGAGGAGAGCGGCGGCTGGTTCCTGCGGGTACACTCCCGCCACTCCTTCACCCTCCCCCCCACAGCGACAGTCGCGTATGGGGCGAGAAAGGGCGACGGCAGGCGCTGCTGGCGTCTCACAGCGGTCACCCCATCACGCCACCTCCCCCACTGTCCGCCACCGCCTCCCTCGTGCCTCCACTGCCCGCCACTCCCACATCCCCCCACAGCAGGAGCACTCACGGCAGTTGCAGCGGGGCCGACGGGAGGGCGGGTGAGGAAGGCTGCTGGAGCGCGATGGGCGGGGAGGGGGGACGTAACGCGAGGCTCGCCAGGGGTCGCGGGTGCAGCACGTCGGGCAGAAGCAGGCGACACCGCGAATGGCAGGCGATCGCGCACTCGACGGGCCGGTGAAAGTGCGGCGCGACGAGCAGGGCCGCCGACGACGAGCGCCAAGCTCGCCGCGCTGGTCGCCGCGACCGTCGCTAAGCAGGCCGCGACCGTCGTGACGTGGCGAGCAGGACGCGACGGGGCCAGCAAGGCGGACGCCATGCAAGGATTAAAATGCGGTGGGCCCATGAAGGTCGTAACCACTCTAATACCATGTTAAGATAGTAGGTAGAGGCATGAAAGTAGGAACCCTAGACATGGCGAGAGTTAGGAACGAGAGTCGAGAGAGAAGGCCAAAAGAGGGGTTTCACTATAGACTCAAAGGTACAAATAGGCAAGAAGCATGACAAGAAGGTGCACCACCAAACAAGATGATTAGGATGACTACACTACAGCTAGAACGACATGCAGTTATAACAATATAATTCTGACAGCGTGGCCGTCCAGGGACGAACAGCGGGAGATCAAGTGCATGGATTGGTTGGTTCAAAAAGACGAGCTTTTCGGCGGCATGCTCCCGGGTGAGTTTGTAAACCACACATGCCATCCTGTCGGATTGCCATGTGCTTGTTGTCATCTGAAAAAAACCAAACAAATCCACCCACCCGTGCTCCCCCCTGTTCCCGTCCACGTCAGGTTTCCAGCTCAAAGCGGCGAAGAAAGAACTCAAGAGCTTCTGTCAGCTTCTGGCACGTCATCACGATCGCGACGATTTCCACCAGGGCCTGCAGAGCATGATGAAAAGCAGAGACTGGAGTCGCAGTTATCCGAACATGATGACGATGTGGCAGGCACTCGATGTGCTCCCACTGAGCACAGTTGAGTGTGAGAGGGGCTTCAGTCGCCAAAACATCATCAAATCGTGGATGCGCACATCCCTTGGCGATGCTCGCCTTGGCGACCTCATGACGCTGCACATGCAGAAGTACCCCTACGTGTGGCCTGACGTGGTAGACATCTGGCGCAAGCAGAAAACAAGACGGCCAGCGAAAACAGTGGCCCTGCCGACCCCAGCGGAACGAAAAGGCAAGAAGAAAGTGCCGGAGCCAGAGGAGGACAGTGACCACGAGCAACAACCGTGTGGCATGTCTGATGATGATAATTAGGGTTGTTATTGTGTGCTGTGTTAAAAAACAACTTCAACAGGGTTTTGCGATATGGTACACTGATGCCTCAGGGTAGTCGTTTGTAATACATGCAAAAACCCTGGCGCATCAGGTTTTCCACAATGGGTAACCCTGAAAATCAGGTTTTTGAACAAGTGCTAGACTGATCGTAAGGGTTGGTCAAAACCAAACGTGAGCCCTGCCCTGGTCTCTGCTATCAGACCAAATTGGTTTGGATGTCTGATTTTCAGACATACTGTTTTACCGTTTCATGTGAGTTTGGCAGGCTTATACACTTCAACTCAAACTCAAACTCAATGGCCTTGTTCTGTGGGCCGAACGCCCACTGATACAGACAACTTCGCCCACTGGGCCAGTGTCCAAGTTTAATTTTCCTAGTAGTAGTCCCCCCCTCCAGAATTATAGAACTCCCGGTTCGGTAATGCTTCAACTGAAAAAGGGAAAACGAACTAAACTCGTGGAACTCACATCAAAGTTTACTCCTCCTTGTGAAACTCCCGTGACGTTCCGTGGAAGCAGCGAGGAAAAGGAAATGTCCCTAGTGACCTACGGGCTTTTCGGGTTAATCTTGAAACCACTTTCTGAAGTTTAGTGCCTTCGACCCCTACCTTCAACAACAATAAAATCACCTGCAGCCAGCAACTTCGTCCTAAATTTCGTGGCCACTTGTCAAGCAGGCTCCACATTTCGTGGCCAGTTGTCTAGCAGGCTCCACGTGGATACAAATTTTGACAACACGACCAAACCGCGTGGAAGCTGCCCGATTGGTCACGTTTTCCTCGTCGGTATCTGGTCCAGGCGAAGCCAGCCACCTGAGTTCTGTTGTGGGCTAATCCAAACCGCCATGACAGACCGCGCTAGGGAACTAGCACACACTCGCTTGCAGTTGCTTGGTGCAGGCGTGTACAAAGTATTTTTTTCTAGCCTCCGACGTCGGAGGCTCGACGTCGAGCGACGTCAAGCTCGACGTCGATTGACGTCAAATGAAGCACTTTGAACACAATGTCGGCGACGAACTTCCACTCAGGACGAACTTCCACTCGCTTCCACTCTGCTCGATGCCTCCTCGTTCGCCAACTCGCCACGACACACAATGTGTACTACGCAAATTTCGAGACAGAGTCGGTTACCCTTCGAGCCAAACGCTGTCGCGGACGTTCTCGCTTTTCTAGCCCTAGTCGGAACCTGCCTAAAAGGTGCTGGGAAATCGCCGAACAGCCAACGCGAATGTCCGTGAGTAACTTCAAGTTGGTGCAACATGCTGTAACAGACCGGGGGCATTCCTTACGATCGGAGTATAAGCACACGAGAATCCACGTCTAACTGACCGTGGGCATTCCTTACGATCAAAGTATGGGCTCAACAACAGCAC